AGAGAGAGAGAGAGAGTATATATTTTAAGGTGGAGGAATAGAATAGATTTATCAATTTTGGGATCACAATAGAGAACGCAATTTCTGCTAGAAAAACATTTTTGTCCCATATTTTGGATCCAAATAGCAAAAATAGATAATTTTCCTGAAAAACTATTTCATGATAATCTTTTTCTAGGGTTCCAATTGGCCCCAAGTGTTGTCATTTAAATGAACCAAGTTTTAAAACACGGTTTGGTGACCCTGATCAGACCTCTGGAAAACTGGTCCTAATTAGTGGATCAGTGGTCCGAATTAGTGATTCAACTTAGTGACTAAGCAAATAAAAAATTTAAAAATTAGGGAACAAAACAATTGAAAAGTTTTAAAAAATTAAATGAGACTAATTCTCTGACAAAACCCATTGGTTCTGTCAAAGAATTAGCTAGAGTAGGCCGATTCCGGATATTGAAGCAGAGCTGAACCATCCCAAATGATTCCCAATTTGAACTATCGAATTTCAGTTCGGTTCTTTGATTTTTAAAACTTGAAATGAACAAACACAATCATTATTGATTCTTAGATATGAAATCGTGTGGTTGAGGACATGTCATTGCCTATGCACAAAGTCAAAAGTAGAATTTCTCAAACATTGTGACATACTCTAACCTGTTGGGTTTCACATCCAATAGTTACGATTGATTGTGAACTTCTTGTAGCAAAAGTGAACTGTCTCGTAGTATACAATGCATATACCAAGTTGTACTCTCAACCATCAAATATTGATCGGATGGTTGAAAATGTATATTACTCTTTACCTTTTAATATTTTTCTATTAATCATATAAAAATAAAATTTTGGGTGTGCGTATACATATTATGGTACACAAAAAAATACAAACCAAATATTTTTCAAAACTTAAAATGACCAAATTACCCCAAAAAATGATGGGGTAATTTTGTCATTTTAAGTTTTTTTAAAATATGTTTTCCTTTTTATAGTGTGCAAGGGTGTCATATATGCCTAAAATATTTATATATGATTTTTAAAAATATTTAAAATTAAATATAAATAATAACATGTATTTACATCCATCCCATCAAGATCTGACAACCGGAATATAACCCAAACTAGTGCTCATTTTAAATGGAACCTATTAGGAGAGA